GTTGGTTCCGACCGTGTGTATCTAACCGTGCGTTGACTGTGCGCAGGGAGGATTACGTAGAGCAGCTATCGATTGGCCACGTGGAGGGTCCAATTAACGAGGTCAATAGTGTCTATATATTTTACTTCTCCTTTCAACCATTTCTAGTGGTGGTGGGGTGTGTGTGTGTGTGTGTGTGTTGTGCAAAAGAGAAAAAGATAGAAAAGACAGAGAGGGGGAGGGCAGTCGGCCTTGGGGAAGAATTGGGAGAGATTCCAACCATTGCTGTACCTTTTTCTTCCTACTCTTGCTAGTACCACTACCATCAATTTCTCTTCATGGGGTTTGAGAGAATTGGAACAACCAAAGTTGACGTTTGGTTTTAGGTCATGCCTTGGTATATGTGGTGTTCGTTTAATAGTTTTCTAAGCAAAATTAAAGATTTTTTTGAAGATTTCCACTTCAAATGATATCAGAGCTTGTGTTGTTAGAAATATGTGAATTTTTTGGTAAAAAACTGGTAGGAAGTAGTCTGAAATGAAGCTGAAAAATCGAGCAGAGAGCTGGGCAGCAATCTAGGATTTTGTTTCAAAGCTGCCACAACTGTTTTTGTATTTTCTAGTCAAACCAAAGACCTGGAAGAGAAGAGGACACCACTGCTGAATTCAGCAGGAGGAGGCGAAGCTGGGAGAGTGGCACTTGACCTCGATGCCATAGTGTGGATACGTCGACGATGTGCTTGAGGATGCATCTGGCAGATTCAGGTGATGTAGTCTTCATTTATAGTGTTGTAAATGACGAGATGAACCCTACGGTGTTGTTGAATTTTAGTTTTGAGCAATACAAGAAAGTTAAGCTATTTTGCCCTTAGCTGTTCGAATGCTATTTTGTGTTGCCGTGGTTGATGGAAGTTTAGGATAGATAGTGGTAGTCCTAAGGCGGTGAATTTGCATCACTCGATATTTACAGACCTTTAGACATGGTCGCTCGATATCGTGTTCTTTGCCTTTTATTATTGTAGTTAAAACTGCTGTGTAGGATAGTTATTTATTTTTTGCATTAGAGTTATCATGTGAGTTGACATTAGGGCTAAGGTTACCTTAAAGGGGTAACCATTACTTGTTCCTAGACATAGGAATTACTTGTTAATTATTTGTTTTAAATTCTTTGTGAATTTATTTGCAATCTTTTCTACATTGTTAGAATCGCATGTGATCTTAGGAAAGTTTGTTTGATTAGTCTATGTGAATTAAGTCTGTACTTTGCTTGTTGTCATTATTTGGTATTGATGGCATGTGTGTTTTAATTGTGGTAATTTTCGGCATGGTGAAATAGACTGTCTTGAGAATGATAATAAAAGGAAAGATGAGAAGAGAAGTGAGGCGAATGTTACCACCTGGTCAAGTTATGACCCATGTATGTTTATTGATAGTAAACTTATTATTGCATGTCCATCTATGTATAACTCTTTCTGCATGTGTGTGATTGCTTAATTCTATTGAGTTGATATGTTACATTTTCAATTTTTTGTGTGTGTGTAATTGCTTGAATTGATCTTGTTACTTGGTGTAATTATTTGCATGCATAGTGGGTTGAGATGCATTAAAAATGTGTTGTGTATCTATTGGTGAGATGGAGTATAGATGTCTAAGGTTACATTGGTGATTTGTACCGGAGATGTGGATTGTGACATTTGGACTACCAGTGGAGATGTAATTAAATATTGGAATCCTTTATCTATGAAGAGACCCTGATCAGGTGCAGTGTGAGAGAGGCATTTCTATCACTTCTGTTAGGTGGAGACTCATTATCCACGTAGGTTGGAAGAAGTGATGTGGTAATTTATTAGTTAGACATAAGTTGAGTGATCTATATAGTGAGCATGGAGGGCAATAAGAATATATATGTGTTCTCGAGGTGTAAGCAACACGGAATGTGATAGGACATGTGCGATGAGTATTTGCGTAGGGTCATTTATGCATTTTTTATATATGTGTTGGCCGTTTGATTGATTAACTTGGTGTTAGTTTGTTGTTCTGTATGAATATGTTTGAAAGGATTTGTGTATTATCCTATATTATATTGTCATCGCATGTTTATCCGTTCTTAATTGATTACTGTGAATATTTGTTTCTACTTGGGTGTTTTTGACCTCAACCCTAGTGTGTATATGGAGCAGATATGGTATGTGTTTCAATTTGAAAACACGAGATATATCTATGATCCCAATTTTATTGATTACCTTGATTATACAAGTATTAACTTTGTGTTTTGATTACCTACTGATTAATTGGGTATCAAGGTGGGAATTTGTCGGGTTTTGATACCCGATAAATTCGGACGATGATTTAAAATAGTTGACTATTAATATATAGTCACCATAGATTTGACTTGGCTTGACTTGAATATGACCGATACTTTTAGAGGGCCCAAGTTAGAGTTGGGCTGGTTTTAGATTATTGTTGGTTCATTAACTTAGCCCATTTTGGAGAGATCTATCTTTGGCCCATTTAAATGAATAAGATAACCCCAAATTTACATACATACATACATACATACATACATACATACATATATATATATATATATATATATATTGCTTCTCATTTCAATCGTATCTAGTGGTTGGGTGTATGTGTTGTGCAAGAGAGAAAAAGAGATAGAGGGAAAGAGAGCAGCCGACCTTAGAGGAAGAATTGGGAGAGATTCCCACCATTTTTGCACCTTCTTCTTCTTCCTACTCGTGCTAATACCATCATTATCCATTCCTTTTCATGGGGCTTGAGAGAACTTAGAGCTACCAAAGTGGAGGTTTGGTTTTAGAACGAGCCTTGGTATATGTGGTATTCATTTGGTTGTTTTCTGAGTCTGGGATTAAAGATTTCTGGAAGATTTCCGCTTCACTCATAGAACCAACCGAGTTCGCACTTATATATGTAATGTTATATAAAGATTACCTTACAATACTTCACTTGTAATGCTTATAAGATATAGTCATCATTAAAATTATTTATTATCTTAACCAATCTTTGATAGGCAACACTTATTCGCATCATAAAAATAGGAAGGAGTTAAAACTTCGAAGTACTTCTCATCAAGTCAATCATAACTAGCTTTCTTATTGAACCTAGCTCGTAGGATTTCTATTCATGGGTTAGGTTTCCTTTAAGCTTACCCATTAATTTAGGCTTTATATCTATTTCCCTCTGTGTATAGTCTATCCTTTCTAGATAACCCATTTATAAACGGATCCGATAGGTTATTTTTATTGAAAAACAATTAGTGTTGTTCCATTTGAGAATAACTAGCAAATAGTGGCGTATATATTCAGACTTTCGGATTATTTACGACATTTTGTGTCATATGATGTATAGCACTATCTCGATTAAATTATGTAACAAGTACAAATTATCATCAAATAGAAAATTCTTCAAAAATCTATTAAGCCATCATGATTCCCTATAACTTTATTTAAAATTCTAATTTCTTTCAATTCTCACTTTGTATGAGGATTTTCATGAAATAACTATACTCTCAATAGTAAAAAGGTACTTATTACAATGTAGTTTATCATTTCAAATATTCTTCAAATATCCCAAGTTCTAATTTGAAGAAGCAAT